GCAAATTTAACTCACCAATAAATTGCCCAGGGTTAAAAGAAAAAAATTAAAAGGACAACATATCAAAGTATGTGGGATGCCACTAAAGCTGTACTTAGGGGAAAATTTGTACAGCTGACTCTCTCTATTGAAAAAAAGAAAAGTTTCAAATCAATGACCTCAGGTTCTACCTTAAAAAAACTAAAAATATGAGCAAATTTAAAGCAGAAGAAATGATATAATAACAATCAAAGCAGAAATAAATAGAAAACAGAAGAACAGATAAAAATTGATGAAATCTAAAGCTGGTTAAGAGCCATAAAACTCCTAAGATACTAGCCAGACTGGTCAGGAAAAAAAAAAACCCAACATTAATTATGACTAACAGAAATGAGATAGGGAATATCATTTCAAATCCTACAGAGATGATATTATAAGGAAAAGAGATTATTAACTTTTTGTCAATAAATTTGACACAAACTACCAAAGTCCACCCAAGATGAAATTAAAAAAATCTAAATACCTATTATTTATTAAAACATTTAAATTTGTGGTTAAAAACTTCCCATAAAGAAAACTCTATGCCTACATACTTTCACTGATAAAACAGTTCAAATTAAAAAAAAAAAAGAAAAGTATCAAGTCTACGCAAACCCTTCCAGAAAACACAAGGGGATAATATCCTAACTCATTCTGTGAGGCCAGCATTATCCTGTTACCAAAACTGAGCAAAGACATTACTGACATAAAAACTGCAGACCAACATTCCTCATGACCACACACGTAAAAACTCTTAACAAAATTTTAGCAAATTATACCCAACAATCTATTAAAAGAATAATTCATCAAGACCAAGTGTGATCTACTCCAGGATTGCAAAGTTGTTTAAAATTCAAAAGTCAAGGTACTTGGACTTATTAAGAAAATAAAAGAGAAAATTCATTTGATAAGTTCAACAGATGCAGAAAAATCATCTGTCCAACTTTAACACCCATTCATGATTATAAAATCTCCATGAACCAGGAACAGGAGGGAACTTCCTCAATATCCACCTTATCTAAGAGCTAACATCATACTTAACAGTAAAAGACTAAGTGCTTTATCCCTAAAATTGGGAATGAGGCAAGGATGTCTGCTTTAATTTCAATTCTACATCTTTCCGTAAGTCCTAACCTGTGCAATACCATAAGAAAAATAAAAAACATACCAATTGAAAAGAAGTAAAATCAGCCTTTTTTACAGATGGTATGATTTTTGGTATACACTCTAAAGGAAAAAGGGCCAAAAATCAGTAGGTAACCACCAACCTGAAGAAGGTTAATAATAATAATAATAATAATAATAATAATAATAATAATAATAATAATAATAGCAGCTTACTGAGTCCAAAGGAAGTAGGAAGTAAATAAAGAGCAGAATTCAGTGAAATAGGAAAAAATATGTGCTAGAAAAGATAAACAAAGGCATGGTTCATTAAAAGAACTAAAAAGATTGATAAGGCCCTGGTAAGACTGATCAAGAAAAAAGAAAGATACAAACGACTATTATCATAAATAAAAATGAGACATCACCACAGATACTAAAGAAATTAAAAAGATAAGACAATGTTATCTTTTCTAATGCAAACATAATTGAAAATTTAGAACTGCAAAAATCCCTAAATATATGCTACTTAATGAAACTGACACAAGAAGAAACAGAAAATCTGATGAGTCATATAAAAATGAAAGAAATTGACCCAGAATTTTAAAACTCTCCACAGAAAAAATCCTAGGTCTAAATCCAGCAAATTTCCCTGCATATTTATGAAATAAATAATGCCAATCTTACACAAATTCTATCTAAAAATAGAAAAAGAGTAAGATTCTCCAATTAATTTTCTGAAATCTGAATAACATAAAACGTTATAAGGACATTAGAAAAAAGAAAAATTTTTCCTAAACAAAAAAATATTAAACCAACTGCAACAATCTACAAGAGAATAATAATACATCACAAGATTTGTTCTATACTAGAATGCAAAATTGGGTTTATGTTCAAAATTATGTTAATAGAATAAAAAAACTATATAATCACCACAATAGATACAAAAAAGCACAATAAAATCCAACATACATTGATGATAAACAACTGGCAAAGGATTGAGAGTTAATTTCTTAAAATTATCTGTAAAATCATATAGGAAATATCATAATTATGAAAGCTTAAAAATGATTAAATGAATCTACAGAAAATCATTACCATAATAGGTGAATTCTTTGATACAAGGTCAGTGTACAAAAATCAACTGCATTTCTCTATCAGGGGCATAAAAAAATGAAGAAATATAATACTAATTACAAGGTTATTTTTAAAACCTAATACCTAGGAATATATCTAACAGAAGAAATAGAAGACCTCTACATAGAAAACTATAAAAATGTTATGGTAGTTAAATAAGACCTAAATAAACAGAGATATATCAAGTTGATGGCTTAAACGAGGGAATTCCATTAAGATAATAATTCTCTGCAAAATGATCTATAAATTCAATAAAACTGCAGTTAAAATCATAATAGGCCTTTGTGACAATTCAGAAACTGGTTCTAAAGTTTATACTGAAATTCAAAGAGACAAGAATAGTCAAGACAGTCTTTAAGAAGAACAGGTGGGAAGATGATCTATTAAATATCAAGTGTTATCACAGAGCTACAGTAATTAAGGCACAAGGATACACAAACAAATCAATGGGCTCAAATTGATGCAACACTGCAAAGTGACTATACTTCAATAAAAAAATATATACCTTAAAACAAAAACAAAACAAAACAAAAAAAATGAATGGGCTCAAACAGCCCAAAATAGATCACCACGTAAGGACATTTTGTTTACGACAAAGATGGCATTACAAAGCAGTGAGGAAAGAATCATCTCTTTAATAAATCATGCTAGACTAATTTGGTATAATATGGAAGTAAAATTGAAAGAGGACCCCCCAATTCATGTAACATACAAAGCTAAAAGTCTCGGTAGGTTATATATGTTAATGAAAAAGGTAAAAATAATAAAGCTTCGAAAAGAAAACAGAGAGGAGTATCTTCATATCAGAGTAGGAATATCAGGGTAACTTCTTAAACAGAAAACAAAAATAATAATCAAAATGAAAACATTGAAACATTAAATATATTAGTCATATCAAAATGGCTAAAGTGAAAAAGATGGAAACTATCAAGTGTTGGCTAGGATATCCTATCAGCTACGGATGAGAGGTCTCACTGATCCACATCCTGAGCTAACTCAGTCTTTTCCATCTTTTTCACCTTAGCCAGTTTGATGGATGTATATTAGTCCCTCACTTACAAAATCATGTTAACATTCTCTACTAAGGCTGAAATTCCAGAAATTTCACTTCTGGTTACATACAGAACAGAAAAGCTTTTAATGAACACCAAGATTCAAATATAAGAATGTTCACAGAACTATTTATGAAAACCAAACACCGGAAATAATCTAAATGTCTACCGACAGAAAAATGGATGAATAAAACGTGGTTTGGTCATTCATCAGAACACTACACGATAAAATAAACGACAAAACTGAACAAACTGTAGTCACACGCAACAACGCTGCTAACTCTCACAAAAGGAGGAAACACAAAAGAATACTTCGCCTGTGACTGACTGAATTCATATAAAATTCGAAACACAGGCAAAGCTAAACTGTAGCATTTAGGGTTTTAAACTTAGTTGGTACAACCATAAAGGAAAGCAAGAATTCCTGAAAGTCAAGATAGCAGTTACCTTTGGAAGGGGAAGCAACACTGACTGGAAGCAACAGGTAGGAGATTTCTGGTGTGCTGGCAACGCTCTATTTCTTGTCCAAGGACAGAGTTCCAAGGGTGCTTAGCTTGCAAAAATCACTGAGCTGTATATTCTGTTTTGTGTACCTATCTGTGTATATTTCTACACATACACAACTATAAAAAGTTATCTAATCAAAACTTCTATGTAACTTAATATACTCTTAGAAAATGAGTGTAAAGGTTTGATGAGAAGGCAGAGAAAGAAGAGGGTGACCACGTGGGGCTGGAAATGAAGGCCAGCAGCCGGCATAGAGAGTGGAGGACTTATCTGCCATAATGAGAAGGCAACACACAGTGCCTAAAAGTAAAAACCAAGCATGCCATTTAAGAAAATTAAAGTAAATAGCAAACAATCAGCTGAGAGAGAAGAGTACTTAATCTAGGAAAGGGGCCAATTGCAGATATGAAGTTGGAGGCCTATTGTTCATCTAACAAATCTCGTATAACTATTTATTGACTCTTTAAAATCTAAAAAAAAAAAAAAAGAACATCCCAAAATGTCACCATTCTTCCATCATCCCATCCCTTGCTTACTTCTTCACGTCCACCACATTCTGTGAGAGCTGGCGTTCACCCCTAGCCTAAAGGGAAGCTCTCTAAGAGGAAGTGCCCACCCCCCACCCCAGTCTGATCAGCTTACTTGTCAGTCTTAAAGTGAGTATAAAAGATAATAAAGAAAGAAAACTCAAGCTCTGTTCTATCCCCTAGTGAAAAAACAAAGCTATAGATAAAAGTTAAGGTACATAATGACTTAAATAAAAAGAATTTCCACCTGTGGATTACAACGCATGAACTACTGGCAAATGGCAGCAGGGCCCTAGTATGGAAATATGAATTTAAACATTTCTAAATGCAGTTAAAAAACAGATCTATTTTATAGACTCAAGATACACACAATTAAGGCACTAACGTCAAGTTAAGGTGCCCCTAATGTATAAAAATTAGGCCAAAGACAGTACAATAAAATTATGTGAAATATGCTCATTTATCAATTTGTAAATAAATCAAATTTATTTTTAACTGACATCTTAATTATCCATATTTACATCTGGAATATAACAACTTTTCTCTCTTTTAACAACCTGAGACAAACAAAATGTTATGATTATATATTAGCTATGCCTCCTCGATTTCTAGAGCTGAAATGTCATGTCAATTACTTAATGAGATTTATTTTTACCTTGTTTAATCTGTCCTTGCACAATATTACTGGAAGTTGAAGGGGAACCCCTTGCCTTAGACAGGTCTGGGGTGCTTGGTCTAGGTGGCCTTTAAAAAGAAGAAGAAAATACATGTATATGTACACATTCATAATTCCAGAGCTATTTAAAATATTAAGCTTTCTAATTCCAAATGAATTGCAAAACAAACACATATAGGGCATTTTCAACTTGCAGTTCTAAAAAAAAGTAGGGTTTTTTGTTTTGCACCTATTAACATTTTCCATTTCCAATTTTAATAATAGTAATTTAAGTAATTTACCTGCAAATAGCAATAAAATCTACAATTTATGCTTTATACTAATATAAGAAACATTTATGAACACTTTAATTTACTACCACTGACATAGGTAAATATCATAATTAGTTATTCATTCTTCAATATGAGCAAGCTGATATATTTCAGTCCACCCCGTTATCATTGGTCCGCATGAATATATGGAACAATACATTGCATTTCAGAGAATCCAGCTCTAAAATCTGAAAAAGGTAAAAAGGGCATTAAGAAATCTTGGCACACTGTCCCCTTTAGAATTCTGGCTCTCCCACTTCCTACTTGCACACCCGTGGACAAGTTATTCACCTCTCTGTGTCTCACCTTTCTTACCTGTAACACACAGATGCTAAAAGAACCTACCTTACAGAGATAACAGCAGTAAGGAGATAATATCTGTAAAGAGTTTACAACAGAGCCAGACACAAGGTAAGTACTACCTTAGTATCTGTTGGATTATTATTTTTTTAGTTCTAAATATGGTCGGCTCTCAGTAAAGTATAATAAAATCAGGGTTGAAAAAGCTGTCTTCATGACTTCTGGAAAATGGGAAATAGCAATTCAAGTTAAGTCTTCTAGAAATATGAAAAGAATACTCTCCTGCACTTAAAAAAGTTGTTTTCTCTTTTCCCACTGAGAAATTCTGACTGTACTTCTCACAAAACAGTGAAGCCCAATCACTGAACACTTATCACTCATTACATATGCGTCACAATGGGGAGCAGCATTCTAACCAAATACATATTTAGAATTAAATGCTAGCACAGCTGTTAAGTAAATACAATCTAAGATTACATTTACTGGGGAGCTAGTCAGTAATTTATTAAGGCTGAAATCTAACCTTTCTCATTCTAATTTTTTCTTTACATAGCTACTAAGTATGTACAGATGAAACGGTACAATTTGATTATGTTTTAAGTCATGCATATTGTATTTCAAAACTTAAAGGGGAAATACTGAGATGACACAAAAATGCCCCCCAAAAAAAAGAAGGAATAAGAAGTGACAAAATAAAATAGGTTTCTCTTTTTTTTTAAACATAAGAATAAAACCAAGAATATCTGGTCCCACCTGGTAGGGCCCTTCTTCATATGGTCACCAATGAAAGTTGCATTGGTCATACTCATCAAGGTGTTCGCCAAAGATATGATGGACAGGAGGTGCTGCGTGGTGACGGCCCGGGACACTGCGTAAGTCCCCTTTCCTACTCCCTCAGATGCTGGCAGCTTCCTTCCTACTTCTGCTTTCCCGTGTGGTAGTTTACAAGCGGGCTGATTATAACCAGGAAGCATCAGTGACATATGACCTCCTCTGGATAAGAGGCCAAAGGACACTGTGCAGTGGGGTTTCAGCATTCCCAGGCGGTCGAGGCAAACTTCATCCAGAACTTCATTCAGACCCCAGGCGTGGAGGCAGGACATGAACAGTTTCGCGGTGTCCATAGTCAGATTATATTCTAACAGCGTCAGCGGCTTAGATTTGCTGGCCCGATACTCAGGGTCGCTCTCTTCCCGCCTCTGCCTCATTATCTCCTCATCCTCCTCTTCGTCATCGAGGAGATGTTCCTTTATGTTCTCTTTGATCGTCTCTTTCACTTGTTGGAAGAGAACGGCTGCTCGTTTTCCAGTTAGAAAAGAGCCCCCTTTGTCTGAGCTGCCAGATGCTTTTTGCAGATTCTCTGGGGAAATAAGTGCGGTGTTCGGCCTAGAGGCTTCCTCAGTCAGGAGCTGGATGATCAGCGCTTCCACATCAAAGAAAAGCACATGCATGTCCGGATCTGTCAGGTTCGTCTTTATTGCCTGAACCATCAGGGAGTTATGGGAATATTTAGGCAAATTTCCCTGCAACAAATATTTTTAAAAGACGGTTAGAATGAAAAGTGTTTAATTTCATGCATTCACTAACGAATAATATATAGTCAAAGAAACTTAAATGCTCATTCAGCTGTCTTTCTAGGTACAGATTTCATGAAAAGTAACACGCCAACTTTGCTGATCAGCAGCATGTAAAAGATATGAACTGTTTTTAAACAACTAGAAGAATCTTAGGCTGAAACAGTTATAAAACTGTCAATTAATTTTTTAAAAAAAGGAAATGAAAGTTTATTATTATTATTATTTACTCATAGTGCAGATGAAAAGTTGTTTCAGTTTCAACCCCGAATGTGCTACAACTGTTCCACCTGAAAGGATACCCCATTTATCACAGTTGCTCATCCTTTAAAGCGGCTGCACCAAGTCCCTCCTTTGTTACTTTACCTTCAATCTCTCCCTGTTCACAGATTCTTTTCCCTCAACAGAGAACATGTTCAAGTCTACTTAGCTTCTTAAAGAAAAAAAAGAAAAACTGTTATCCTTTGATCATGCTCCTTCTTCTATTTCCCGGTCTACTGCCCCTTTTAGCCAAATTTAAGGAAAGAAGTAGACGAATCCACTGGAAACTTCTCAGTCCCTCTCCTCCTTACTCTCTTTGCATTCTCTCTGACCAAACCCATAATTTCTGACGTTGCTGTTTTTGGTAGGAGAGAGAGGAAGAGAGAGAAAGCATTAAAAGATCTTCCCAGAGAACACCTTCTTAGTAGGACTTCTGAGCACCCTTCTCAGTCAGCTGCCCTGAAAACTCATTCTTTCTCCCACAGTATAACCATCACCTGTGTGGAGGTGGATCCCTAATTTCCATCATCAGCCAGACCAGCTTCTGAAGGAGTCTGAACATCGTCTTTCCCACTTTTGTATCTGGATGTCCCACAGAACATGCCCTAATCTCCACCCTCCCCACTAAACCTGCTGCACCTCCCAAATCACCGACTGAGAGTTCTTCTTCTAATCTATCCCCACCATCACCAGCAGCACATTCAGACCCTTCTCTTCTCTCCTCTAAACAGGTCTTACTGCCCTTAGTCTCTCCTTACTCCAATCCAAGTGCCACAGAGCCACTAGACTGCTTTCTGAAGCATAAATCTAATCATGTCGCTTTTCAGCCAAAAAACCTGTCATGATCATGGGTTATTGAGATAAACGGAAAATACAAAATTAAAAACTAAATCAAAATATAGAGGAATAGATCTGATCTCAAGATGAGAAAGAATTTGCCAAAGTTAAATTTAAAATTCACTAGTATTAAAATTTAAGGCAAGAAAGAAACAGGAATAAAAATATGCCATAAATAAGACTAACGTAGTTATAATCTACGTAAATACTTTTAAAAAATTGAGGGGGGGAGGTAATTAGGTTTATTTACTGATATTTATGTTTAATGGTGGTACTGGAGATTGAACCCAGGACCTTGTGTATGCTAAGCATGCACTCTACCTGAGCTATACCTTCCCCCATTACTTCTTAAAAATCAATTTAAAAATACTGATGCCCAAATAAAAGGGGAAAATACCATAAAGGTCAAAGACAATTCACAGTAAAAACAGACAAATTCAGTCAATGAATATAAGGGAAAACTTGTTCAAACTAGCTGTCAAGGAAATAAGAGTTAAATAACCACAAGATGCCATTAACAAAATTAGCAAGCAGTAAACATGAAAAAATACTTCTCCAGGAGTACAAAGAAAGCCAAAACCCACACACTGCAAACGTGAATTTAAATACCAGCCTTTTGGAAGAGGAATTTGGTAAAACAGATTATGAGCCCTTGAGATTGTCTGATCCAGTACATTTATTTCTAGAACCCTATCCTAAACAGTCATAAATACAAAGATTTTTGTACAAGGACATTCAGTGAAACAGTATCCATTATTTTAAACTGCAAACAACCTGAATAATCTAACATAAAGAAATAAATAATTTAAACCTAAACAACCATATAATAAAATAAATACTGTAATTACTACAAATCATGCTTTCTGGACACGTTAATCACATGGTAAAATGCCCATGTTCTAATTTTAAGTGTGCTAAAACTACACACATGCACACAGGTACATACACACACACCCCACACAAAAGTATATAACTCTGATTTCATTTATTTAACACGCAAGTATGTATTTGTGCATAGTGAGAAACACTGGAAAGAAATACACGAAAATGTTCATTGTAGTTACTTTTTGTGATGGAATATATAAGACTTACATTATCTTCATATTTCTATATATTTTAATTGCATATAATCAACATATATTATTTTCATAATTATAAAATAAAGCTATAGGGTGAAAATGAAAATCCTTCAGTACAACATTCAAGGCCCGTTGCGATTTGATACCAAATACTTTCAACTTTAACAAGTACATTCTAGTGCCGGGACCATAGTCCCTCATCCATTTAGTCCCTTCGTTTATTCCTTTATCCGAAATCCTCTTCTTTGCTCTACTCCAATCCCTTCACTTCCATCAAGACCTTCATTCTCCCAGGGAGTTAGTCCACAATGAATCCAGTTCCCATAATATTTTTCATCTGCTGTGTATCACAAATTTGGATGTCTTGGCTACATTTATGTAATTAGTTATTTTATGTGTTTACATTTTCCTGTACTCTACAGGAACTGTATCTTACTCATCTTGTGTAACCCTCAGCCTATCAGAGAACCTGGCAGAATGAACAAAGAACATTATAAAAATCTTTATAAAATTATTTTAAGTTGCTAATCAACTCTCCTATTGTAAAATTACAACAAATTCCTTCAAGTGGTCTCTCTTCTGTCTCAATCCCTCTCCCATTTGACTATGGTCCTTTCTAGCTTAAGAGACTTCAATAGCATTCTATAGCCCAAGGATGAAATCTTTGCAAAGCAAAGACTTCTTTACAAAGCACAAGACATACTCCAAAACAGACCACTGCCTACTCCTCCAACTCCATCTCTTACCACATCTTCAACTGCAACCAAATTAAACCACTTGTGCCTTCCAGAATCAGGCAGTTTCAGGCATCTGTATCTTTGCACTGCTTACACCAGGACGATGCTCCCTTCTCAACCTCCTGCTCATCCTTCACAAACTCTCTCAAGTGGCTGCTCTTCCAAAAATTATTTCCAGAATGATCACTAATTCTGCCTCCTTTGTCTAAACTTCTACTCTGAATTGAACAAATGATATTTAAAGGAAGGAAAAAGTAAATATTATTTCTATACTATAGCTTAAGAACCTAAGGCACTTAAGTAGATAAATTTACAATATGCAAAATATAAAGTAAAAAAAAAAAACAAGACTTTCTTGAATTTCATCCCTGTATTTAATTCATTCATTCCACATTCCCACTACATTTGTGTAAAGCACTAAGGATACAAAGATAAAGACGGTTTCCTAGTCATGCGACTCAAAACTAACAAAAAATGACATGTAGAGGCATTATTACAATGCAGTATGAATGGTGCTATAAATAAAGGGGGGGGGGTTGGCAGGTGCAATTAGACATACAGAGAAAGTTATCAACTCCACCTCGGGAGACCAGGAAGATCCTCACCCAAAGGGTGACTTGAGCTGTGCAAGGGCAGAGAGGTAGCAGGATGCGAAAAAGGATAAAGGCAGGAAACATCACGGGATGGATGTTGATGAAACCATGGGTGACCAAGACAAAGACTGCAAGGAACGGTGTGTTGAGAGCACAGACGTCCACATGAAGACTCCCGAACTTTCTCTTGTGGGCTCAGGGGCCATTCAAGCACTGCTTCTCCCAGAAACATCAGGGGCGCTGGTCAAAAAACGGGTTCCTGGGCCTGGTACCAGACCTGAATCAGTGCGTGCTGGAACAGATCCAGGTCTGCCTGATGAAAACCCCAGATGACGTTACACAGTGAAGTAGGAAAACCACTACGTAAAGGCTTTAATAAGGGGAGTAATATGATCAAATTTAATTTTATAACAATTTATCCACTAGCAACGTTGGCTGAAAAGAAGCAAGATCAGGGTCATGAATATAAACTGGGAGGAAGGAGAAGCCAGCCAGATGAGGGAATATGAAAGTATGCAACAGTACTGACCAACAGTACTGAACCTGTAGACGGGGTGGATGAAGGATGCCTGACCATTTTATTCCTCACACCACCGCGCTTTGTATTCGCTTTTTCAAACACTGAATGTGTAACGTCAAACACTATGCTTTATGCTTTGTACCTGCTGGCAACTAATTTCACTGATAGATAAAATTATACATTTATAATAAATATATCTAATATATAATATTTTACACCAATATTAGGTCGACAGACATGACACTAGGTATGAGGGAATCACAGCATTAGATCAAACAGCCCACCACAGTACTTCAGTCAATACTGTCTTCCCAGTAAAAATCGGCAAAACCATTACTGCCAAAGAATTAAAAAATCAGACATGTTTGGTAAAGAAATTACTGAAATGGCAAGAGTAGCTTGAAGAAAAAAAGGCCAGAGTGAAGACACAAGGTTGGCTTCTAAGCCCCCTCCTCCAATGTCGAGCACATGTGTGCCCCTCTCCGCACCCCCGGGTCTGCCAGGTTTCCATCTCCTGCCGGGAGGTATACCAGCAGACAGCCTCTGTGCTCGCACAGCTGAGCGGCTATCTGGTGTCTGGTACCGTGACATCTGGATGTGACTGCGTGCAGCTCCCACTGACCGTGTCATTGTGGCAAAAACTGTCTCTGATAGTAACCGCAGAAAAGAAAGAAAGGGTGCGAGGGAGGGAGGAAGGAAGGAAGAAAGAAGAGGGGGAGGGGGGAAGGAGGAAGAAAACAATGAAAGCAGATGAGGAGAGAACAGAGGGAGACGGAAGGAAAGACAATGTCTCATCTCCACGTCCTGTAGATGAACTATAATTTCCAACGTCACTGTACCTGCATACAGCCTGTAATGCCTGACAATGGATTTGAGTGACTTAACAAAGTCGTATTGCAACAAAATACAGTTAGTCATCCAG